AACTTCAAAAACATACAGAAAATACAAGTTTTATATATATTATAATGATCTAGGCTATTTCCAGGCTTACTAGATTTATATCTTGATGATTCTTCATCTGTTTAGTCAACCTGATGCTTATTCGTTAGTTTAAGTGCTTTTTACCCAAAATTTCGAACCAAACTGATTGGTTGAAAAAGGTTTCAGGCATAAACGGCTTCCTGTGAAGATTTCGCTAATCTTTAACACAATCAGATGAACATACGTCCCAAAGAGTTATGACATTTCTCTTGTGACTCGTTGTCTGTTCCCTTCAAATATTATTCTCAAGCTGTACAATCACATATAAATATTATACTCACATGACAAGAGAAAAAGAATGTCATCTGATTATCTGGAATAGCCGCAGTTATGCAGACTAGTATTTATACTCAGTAATGATCGAAAGTAAAATGAAAATTTAGACCGTGGACGGACTCGAACCAGTGATCATCGGATTTCCGGCTCAATGCTCTCCCAACTGAGCTACGAGGTCAGACTGTCGGCCAGGTTTTTATTCCACCTCATTATCTCAGACAGTCAAATGATAATCAATGTGATGCTGCCCCTCTCTAATTCAGTTGGATATGGATTGGGATGAGAAGTAGTGATTAGGCAGCTAGTGTGAATACGAGCAAGGGGTAGTAACACGTCATGAATTCACACGGTAGTCGGGCAAAACCCATGGTAATTGAAGTGAAATAGAAATCTGGTCAGCAGTCGGACCGCACAACTCAGTTGTTAGAGCATCGAGCCGAAAACTCAGTGGTCGCTGGTTCGAATCCGGCCGCAGTCCAAATTTTCATTTCGCCTTCAATCATCACCCAGCAGAAAAGAAATGACTCAAAAAAATATATTTTTGAATGAATTTGGCTTTGATTATAAATCAGAAGATTGGCAAAAGAATTACCTAGTGTTTGAAATAGTAATGAGAAGAAAACTTATCAAAAACGAAGCAAGAATAACTAACGAAGTTAAACGATGTGATCAAAGAAGTGATCAGTGTAGTGAAAAGTAAGAATTTTAGGGCAGGAAGGGTATAATATGTGCAAAGATATCATATAACAATTAGCAGGTGAAAAAAAAGATGTCAAGGGTAACATGTTCCGATACCCTATGTTCATTGCAATTCAAGGCCTCAAAATAATGATTGCAATGACTTCCGCAGTCTGAAAAAGTTACTGGGTTACATATTTCATAGAACTTGCACAAACTCTGTAGGTGATACTGAAACTAGTATTCTCTTGTCGCCCAACGGTTCCTAACAACTCAGAGGAGAAACGTTTGCATCTGATCACTTCTATGTGCAGATATCAGTTCATTTGCTCTTGTGGAACCAGGTATATAGGTCGTTGGATGCAACTGTTATCCAAAAGAGTTCAAGAGTACTATCGGACAATAGAGCGATAAGCACAGCTATGAATGAACACATCATTAACACAAATCACTCTGTCTCAAGAACCTCATCGTAAATAATCATCTAAAAAGTGAGAACAAACCTTTCAAAGGCTGTTTGTGTTCGTATTCTCTGCATCGCTGAAGTTCTTGTCATCCATACACAGAAACCTGAACTATGTATGCAAAAGAAGACTGCTCAACCCATTCTCTTTTCATGGTCTTAGTTTTCAGCCTCCTCTACCCCCTTTGTCTCTTTTCATTTTTCTGTTTTGACACTATTCACCTCTTAAGAGATTTGCTACTCATTCTTTTTCCTATGCTCTGGATGATCACAATTTATTTTCCAATTATGTTATATCATGAGAATTCTTGTCCAAACTTATTTTGATTAATGTTGCCTACTCATCAGTTTTTTTTATATTTTGATTTGAATGATAGCTCATTTATTGACACTATTTGTGTTGCCATGCTTGACAAATCGTTTTTAACAATCATATCTTTACACTAGAAAAAAATGTATAAATTTGCCATTGTACAGCTTTGAAATTGAAATCGCCAAAAAAAGACTTCGTCGAAATATACTTTTTCTTCTTTGAGATACTGAAGTTGTTATCTACATTTAATCAGTGGTTACAAACGACCGATACTTCTAAAATAGAGCTGCAATCTGCTGTCTTTTTTCCTTTGTAGAACCATGCTGGTACATTTTTGAAAATGCCTTTGGAAAGACCTAGTTGAATACAACAAACATATCTCATTCTACAGGAGCAGGTGAAATGAAGACCATATGTAGTGGTGGTCACTGGAGCTAGATTATACTTAACACATAATCGAAGCACTGAGTAGGTAAAAAAAGTTAGTCTGAGTTCTGTAGTACAGAAACCATTTGTGAATGAGCATGCTGGACGATTTCTTAATGTATCTGCTGATGTATCTCCACTAAGCTGTAAATTCATGAAAAGAGGCTTCTTAGGGAACATGAAGTAGAGTGCTTATCTTCTTTCAATTTCCTAATTTTAATTATGAAATAATTAGGATAGTGGTTTTCAAATTACGTCAGGTTTCGAGAGGCATCCAACTATGAAGGTTGGTAAGCTGACTACTCTACGTGAGTTTTCTATGGATATGCATTTTTAGCGATTCATTGTCTCACGCTTTTCTATGTACATCTAAAAAAAAAGAAATTTTAGAATCAAGTTCCTTCCCTAATGTGAACTTGACTGAAAAGTGATAGTTATTACGTTGCCATAGGATAAGTTTCCTTCTCAATGCTATTTCGAACACTGAGTAATCATTTTGCCAACTTCCTGATTTATAATCAAAGCTGGATTTCATTCCTTTTCTGTTACCATATGAATATAATATATTTATGTGGAATTGTACAGCTTAAAAATGATATTTCTGAAGAGAGTGATTCTTCGCTAAACATCTTTTGTTTTCCTGCTTCTATTGTGTACTCTGAGCTGGGATGTTTAAGCGTGAAGCTTTCATAATCTTTCTAGACAACATCATCAGCACTAAATTCAACCTGATGAAGTAAGCTGTCAATATCTCTCCATGAGTGATTTAGTAGATTGCCTTGACAAAGCAGTCCAGATTGGTTTCTCCTTTGATTGTTGTGTCATTGACTGACTGCATAGATTTTCCTGTTGGCTCTCCCTCTACTTGACATCTCACCTTTCTGTTGTTTATCATTTTTCTTACTGATTGATAGACTGAGTCAGTCTATGTCTATACATCTGTTGATTGCTGACTGACGTGAATATCAAGCTTCTAGGAATTCTCTGACAATTTTTGTCTTTCCTCTGTCCAAAATTTCTACATTGTTGAAATTGGATTCATGTCCATCACTGTTATCCACGTGTATTGAAATGAGTGATGAAATATCATGTATGATGTTTAATAGTCAATTGGTGTTCATGTAAATGACGAAGGCGAAGAGGGTGACCACTTTGTCCAATGTAGTGTTGACTACAGTTATTGTAGTTGATTTTTTAAATGATATTCGGTTTGTCTTCTTTGGTTGTCGCATCCTTTGGTCTGCATAATAGTGTTTGTAGAGAATTTGTTGGTTTATGAGCCACATCAATTCCAAATGGTCTCAGTAATCTTGTCATGATTTCTGATATATTCTTTATATGTGGTAGAATGATGCGTCTATTGATTTCTGTCGATGACTTTGTAGTTGATGATGTATGGGATAGGCATCTTCTGATAATTTTCCATTAATAGCCATCCTTTTTTAGGATGGACATCAAGTAAAACACCCACAATGTGGTCAACAACGTTTTCAGTTACATCAAATTCACAATTGAGAAAGAGTCAAACAACCAACTACCATCCTGGATGTTCTGGTCAATAGAATAAATACGGGGAAGCTGCAAAACCCAAGTGTACAACAAGCTAACATACACTGACCAAGTCCTGAACTACACTAGCAACAAACTACAAGATCAATTGCGTTCAGACTCTATTCAGAAGAGCGAGAACGCGCTGCAGTACAACAACTTCAAGGAGAAATGAAGAAAATTACTTGATGTCCATCCTAAAAAAGGATGGCTATTAATGGAAAATTATCAGAAGATGCCTATCCCATACATCATCAACTACAAAGTCATCGACAGAAATCAATAGACGCATCATTCTACCACATATAAAGAATATATCAGAAATCATGACAAGATTACTGAGACCATTTGGAATTGATGTGGCTCATAAACCAACAAATTCTCTACAAACACTATTATGCAGACCAAAGGATGCGACAACCAAAGAAGACAAACCGAATATCATTTAAAAAATCAACTACAATAACTGTAGTCAACACTACATTGGACAAAGTGGTCACCCTCTTCGCCTTCGTCATTTACATGAACACCAATTGACTATTAAACATCATACATGATATTTCATCACTCATTTCAATACACGTGGATAACAGTGATGGATATGAATCCAATTTCAACAATGTAGAAATTTTGGACAGAGGAAAGACAAAAATTGTCAGAGAATTCCTAGAAGCTTGATATTCACGTCAGTCAGCAATCAACAGATGTATAGACATAGACTGACTCAGTCTATCAATCAGTAAGAAAAATGATAAACAACAGAAAGGTGAGATGTCAAGTAGAGGGAGAGCCAACAGGTAAATCTATGCAGTCAGTCAATGACACAACAATCAAAGGAAGAAACCAATCTGGACTGCTTCGTCAAGGCAATCTACTAAATCACTCATGGAGAGATATTGACAGCTTACTTCATCAGGTTGAATTTAGTGCTGATGATGTTGTCTAGAAAGATTATGAAAGCTTCACGCTTAAACAACCCAGCTCAGAGAACACAATTCAACCGAGACCCTCCACCTTGGCTACAAATATTCTGCACTATCGTTTGTTTTATTCAGTTTTCGTTGTGGTTTTTTTCACTGTTCTTTTTGTTCTTATTTGATTGAATTCCCTATCTATTGGTTATCAGACAGATAGCCTTAGGTTAATTATTTATTTTATATCATTTCAGTAGTTCAGCGATACGTTTCAGCTTTAAACCTCTATTTTCCTTTTGTTTTTATCTTTTCCCCCTTTCAGCTTATGTAGATGGAGGTATCCATGGTTAAGCTGCCTGGTGCTGATTATTATTTTGCTGATCACCGTACTCGTCTACTTTGTACCCATAAGGTATTTAGTCATAGCTTATAGTAAGTGTGTAAATATAACGTATATTTAAAATATGTTTACATTGAACAATTGAACACTTTAAAATAATTTCTTATATTAATCAAACATGATTCTAAACTGTAAAATGTAGTCAATAAGAATTTTCGATTGAAGAAGCTTCGGTTTTTAGTATTAACTACAATATGTGAATTAAAGTGTTGATCATAAGTTTCTATTCAATAGTTATAATCTACTGAATTCTTACACAGTATTTTAAATGTAGTTGAAGGTAGTTGAGACGCAAAGAAGAAAACACAGAATATGATTAACAAAATCCAGAAACTTCCAGATGCTTTACCAAAACAATTATTCAATAATATATTTACTGACAAGACCTCTATCTTTTCAAATGTGATGGGTTGTAATTTGCTACTTTTTGGCACCGTGACTTAGTGGCCTAGTCAATAACACTCCACCATTAAAAGTGATTACTCATGGGTCTCAGTCTTAGAGGAGACAACACCACTTACTGGTAGACAGATTTGATCAGATGACTAGTCCCGGAAAGGATGAAACATGCATACTGGATTTCACTGCTAGACACTTTCTATCATTATCATCAAATCTTCCATCAACCAGTTACTTCTCTGCATTTTACCATTCACGAATTACAATTGTTCAACTGCTTGTTGTATCAATGATGTTTGTACCTTGAACCCCAAAATGGTTAGTTGTAATCTTATGGATCACAAGCTCCCGTAAACACTGTAGTTGTAAACTGCTACAAACTTGTTTGACAGAGGGTCGTTAAAACCCGCTTTATCTTCTGTTCAGTGAGTGACTGACTCATAAACTATAGTTCAACAGAGTAAAAAGTAAATTAAGGAGTGTCTCACACTAGTATCACATGGCTAGCTAATGAGTTGAATACATTGGAAACCTGGAATTGGACAGCTGTGTCACGCTATTGGATGATCAAGCTTAATTCACTAGAGTTGATATCCAAACACACTGGTAACGGTTGGAAGACTTTTCAATAACGTTAAAGATTTTTCAGGAAAACAGTAACACTAAGATGTATGTCGATTCTGGACAGGTGACAAATGGTGTTCAAGACCCTGTGATTGCGAACATCATTTTAAAGATGACTTCGTGTTTCAGGATTATGACAATGACTCAGTAGTCGCAAGTGGATATTATGTTCATGTCAATCACATTTTCGACACGAAAGCAACTGCTGCTTTCTTGAAAATCACAGTCGTTGTGAGATAACTGGAGTCAGATGGAGTGATATTCACCAAGGTTTATTCTAAATGCGATGCGATAAATGTGAAGTAAGATATTCTTCGATCCTAACGCTTATTTTCAGAAAGCTCACTGAGTTGCAATGGAAAGCGAGTAATCTGAGAACAACAGAATCAGCATACAGCTGATTTCGTCGAGAAATCAATTGTCCAGAATGCCTGGAACCTGTACAAGTGTATGAGTCAGCTCCAATAGGGGGGAGGTTATAAGCCACCGAACAGGCTGATGAATACAAGGACGGCGTGATAAAGCCTTAGTGCCAGTGGCCGTAAATGAAAAACGTTAGCAGGTTTAAAAATAGGGTGACTTTAATGGCCCGCCTAACAACTGTTGGAGTAGCCAATCAAATTTTGATATTCCAACTAGGAGGTTAAATTTTCATAAAATAGAAAGCCATAACCGGTTATCTTAACTGTTGCTAGGGTGGCCTTTAAAGTCATACCGCAATCAGTATGCCACTTAGCGTGACTTGAAATGAGGCCTATTCTACATTTATTGTGCCTTTGAAAACCTAAAAAAATTTTTTGTTCTTCCTCACTAAAAACTCAACCTTTTTCAAAAACCACTAATTTTATTGACTTTTTCAGCGATTAAAAAGTTTACACGTCCTATACGTAATTCAGCCCGGGTAACTACTACAATTTTTTTTGGTATCTTAAATCGAGTCCCAAGTCGAATGGAAAAAGTAAGCTTAAATATATTCTCATTTTGAATGAAATAACCACAGTTTTATAGCCTTTTCTGTTTAACTTCAAAAATTTACCCATTACTGAAATATATTTCATAATACTATTCATGAAATAAGACTGACTGAGTGAAGAAATATATTCCTTTTCAGTCAAGTATTCGTTTTTGGTTCTACACTAATATATAGGTGTACAGTTCAATCAAAATACTTATTGATGGGTGCCGGGTTGATAAACTATAGTTAAAGATTTTAAGTCATAAAGATCGGAAGTTTGAGAAGTCAAGTTGTAAATAATCAACATAGTAATTAAAACGAGATTAAAAACAGTAACCATAATAATGTATAAAGGATAATTCTTAGATAGATTATCTAGTAACTGGTAAAGTAAATTGAATGTTCCTTATCAAGTAGTAAGTCACAAACAACGAATAATTACGTACGAATTATCATTTTTATTTATCATTTGTCCTTCGAGTTCCTAATGGAACATAGGGCTTCAGTAGCACGTCGCTTTTGTTGGAAATACTTTTCGTAACACTCCAAGTCTGTCACCTATCACATAGAAGCACTGACTTGACTGACATTAATGTTGAAAATCCGGATCTTGTTCACGCTTTATGCTGAGTGGAGTTCAGTAAATCTCCACACTGATTTCAGGTTAATAGAGGCCTGTCTTGCTGTCATTTCGATCCTGGCTTTGACATCCTCATCTGTGCCGCCACCACCGCCTGTAGTTAAAACAATGCTGTCTAGGTGGGTAGGTGAAAGAGACAAATTCCTTCAGATTTCTCTTGCTGATGGTGACTGGTGCGTGTTGTTGTTGTTGTTGTTGTTGGTTGGGTATCTTCATCAGCTCTATCTTCTCTACGTTCACCTGAAAAAAGTCCTGTCTTCGTTCGCTGCCTCACCTCTTCTGCCAACTTGCTAGTTTCAGCCTGTAGGTCTTCGAGTTTGTGCGACAAGACATCAGACATAAATCATCATCGGCGGCGACATTCAAATCTTGTAGGGTCTTTCCATCGGTTCAGCCAGCGTATGTCCCTCTTCTCGCTCCTCACGGTTTGCTGTATGATCCAGTCCATTCCAGTCGAGCACAATCAGGAAGATCATCGGTGATAGTAGGCAACTTTTTCTTACTACTATAAGAATAAGTAATTAAATTAACATTGGTAGAACAATAAAGGAGAAAGGGGTACAGAATAATACTCAAAGTAGCATTATGCTGATGGCCATGTTAATGAAAGCGGCTGAACAAATTTCTTTTGAATACAAAGGTTAGTTTTGTAAAGGTGGATTGCAATCATTTCTGCTATATGAAATAAACGAATATGTAGTCCATGTGGTGAATTAAATGGTTTACGATGAATACTTTAAGAATGCTTTTCCTGTATCCCCTTGATATCCAGTGTCAACCAAGCGTGCAAATTTGGAGCTCTTTATTGTTCTGATCGGTCCTTTATTCAACCTAGATGGATTGTGCTGAGAAACTTGAAAATGGACCTGGATCATTTTACGCCTAATGTGACTACCTCTAGAGGACCAGTTCAACTGATAAATACACAGAAGTGTCAGAATCAGGGAGTCTGTCTTTATTTCTAACACCTACAGTCACGTGGTTGTAGAAGAGGGAACATAATTTAACAACTGAGAGTGCTGTTTGCAGGACTCTTCTTTTGCAAAGTGATATGATCTCACTTATAATATCCTCCTTAAATGCCGACTCGAAGAAGATCTGCTTATCAGGAACTGTCGGGATTCTTGTCTTAAGCTTCGTAATGTCCATATGCTTAGCTAAAAGAATTTGCTGGATAACCATTTCTACTAAGCAGGTCATGGATGGTGGTGAACTCTTCCTCTATAACACTTTCACAGCAAACAGCTATTGTGTGGTGTGCTAGGCACTTAGCCAGGCTCCTCTTGTATTGGAGGAGTGAGCGCACTGGCTTTCCATACATATTTTGTTTCAGAGTCCTGTCTAACCTTCTAATCAGCAGAACGTCAAGAAATGAGATACTGTCATTTCTCTCCTCTTCTATTGTGAATTTTATTTCCGGATGAACACTATTCAAAGTATTGAGAATAGCATTCTCATCAATCCCACTTTTGAGAGCTATTCTCGAAATGTACTTTAGAATGTGCTTCAGTGAAGTATTATGAATAACGATTTAGTGAAAGAATGAAAATCTAAATCTTCATGTAGTTGACACCTTCATTATGAAAGTCGTATTTCCACTTCGAAAAGAAGAATACGGACAAGTCTAGGATTGTCTGTTGAAATAGATTTGTTCATGAATCGTATAAGCACTTTAACTTGAAAGTGATGAATTACTTTCTATGTATTTTTATCAGGAAAATTCAAATAAAACATCCAAATAGAGGCATATCAAACCTTTTCACCCAATATCCATTGGCGACCTGCCAACATTTTGAGTGCCAGGTTTTATAACACGGACACGCGTACCAATGCCCGACAATAGCTGTATTTCTCAAACTAAAGGTTGCATTCGACTCCTCCATTGCTCCACAAGTCTTATGCCAATGTCTCTCACTGAAACGCGTGTCGAGTAAGTACATCACCTCATTCAAGGCTCCCTACTCGAACACTTGTGGGTACGTTACAACCTATGGTGAGACAGATGTCCAGGGAGCCATGCTCATCGAGTGGTCTCCATCAAGGCTACACACTGTCTCCATTCTTATTCAGTTTTATCACAGATATTCTTATGCAGGTCTCCCTCTCATCACCTGATTACACAGACGTTGACCTAATCACACGAGAATTTTCGTTAGACCTAGAATATGCAGATGACATAGTCGTGTTATGGGAAGACGCTGACGAGATGCAGAGTTTGTTGGATACTTTGAGTGGCAATTTGAGAATGTTTGGAAGTGTTTCTCACCATCCAAATGCAAATTATTGTTCCAGGATTGGTCTTCAGCGTTGATCCACCGAGGTTAACAATAGAGAGTGTAGTGGTTGAGTGTATCGACTACTTTTTACCTATCTGGGAAGTGATATCAGTCCTAGTGGTTAACTCACTGGCCGATCGAATCTCTCCACAAACACAAAAGGCTCGATTGGCCTTTGCCAACTCACACCACCTATGAGGCCGGTGTGATATCCGATTGTCTATTGGGGGTCGCGTGTACTGCACATGCACAGCAGTCAGTCCACTGTGTTCTACTATATGGCCGTGAAACATGCCCATTGAAGGTGGAAGACATGAGAGGGCTGGCTTCAGGTGTTTGACCAGCGTCACCTATGTAGTATAGGCCGTATTCCGTGGTGTCATCACGTGAGTAATGCAGAAGTCAGGTGTAGAGTTTTAGGAAGATATAGTGGTAAATCAGTTGACTAGGTTATGAACCTTGATCGACTGAGATGGTTGGGACACGTGTTACGCGTGCCTAGTTGCCGTCTTCCTCATCACACATTGTTGGTCGAAGTAGTTTCAGGCTGGAGGTGTGTAGACTAAAACATGGCATCAGTGTATGAAGTGTTTGACTGTTAGTTTGAGTGATGTAGGGAGATGTGGACTGGGTGGTTGTGGTCCGTGGGACAAGAGGAAGCAGTGGTTGGAGACTGACTCTAAGTGATCACATGGCTCAGAATCGAAGTCATTGGTGCAGATGTATACACATATTATCCTCATCTTAACGATGCCACACCGAATCTCACTGTTTTCTCATCCTTCCTTTCTCTCCTATTTTACTTTATATTTCTTTGAACTGAGTTTTCTTTTCTTTGTCTTCCACTTCACTGCCTTATTACTTGATGTAGTGATATGAGGTGTGGCTACACTGACTGCTATGCAGCAATTCCTCTTCCTATGTTGATGATGATGAGATTTTGAGCTACTGAAGATTTCCTTGTATGCGTACATCAGACTGCTTTAATGGTTCAAATATATCATCAAGTGATACTGTTTGCACTTAGCCATTGGAAAGGTTTTCAACCTGCAGTTTTGTAAGTTATCATTAAGATTAAGAGAAAACATCTTTGGAGATTGGGATGGCCTCCTAAGTGCACAACAATACGTCATGTGACTATTCTTGGAATATTCATAAATACATGTGTTAGTGAGACCAAAACGATAATCCGCATGTGGAGATTTTCATCATCCAACCAATGCCTTGTAATTCAGTGCTTTGAAGTTTCTAGGTTCTTGACTGATCTGATAGAAGTCATAAACGATTTGGCTAATGAGGTGGCTTTGATGTTCTTAAAGACTCATTAAGATTGGCTGTAAGGTAATAAGCATGTCCTGTAATCCTCTAAAGCTTTTATATACAGCAAAGCTAAAAAAGCATATAATGATGCATGAACGCAGTCTCAGCTAGAATTAGTGCTTAACAACACATATTTGGGATTAGTAATAAAAGTGTAGGTAGCAGTAGTTTACTATGATTAAGTCTTGGTTGTATTGTGTTCTCTGAGCTGGGTTGTTTAATCGTGAAGCTTTCATAAGCTTTCTAGACAACATCATCAGCACTAAATTCAACCTGATGAAGTAAGCTGTCAATATCTCTCCATGAGTGATTTAGTAGATTGCCTTGACGAAGCAGTCCAGATTGGTTTCTTCCTTTGATTGTTGTGTCATTGACTGACTGCATAGATTTTCCTGTTGGCTCTCCCTCTACTTGACATCTCACCTTTCTGTTGTTTATCATTTTTCTTACTGATTGATAGACTGAGTCAGTCTATGTCTATACATCTGTTGATTGCTGACTGACGTGAATATCAAGCTTCTAGGAATTCTCTGACATTTTTTGTCTTTCCTCTGTCCAAAATTTCTACATTGTTGAAATTGGATTCATATCCATCATTGTTATCCACGTGTATTGAAATGAGTGATGAAATATCATGTATGATGTTTAATAGTCAATTGGTGTTCATGTAAATGACGAAGGCGAAGAGGGTGACCACTTTGTCCAATGTAGTGTTAACTACAGTTATTGCGGTTGATTTTGTAGATAATGAAAGTTCAATGATTAAACAACCCAGCTCACTGAACACAATACAACCAAGACCATCCTCCTGAGCTAAAAATGTTCTCCACCATTTCAATATGATTATGTATTATTATGTCAGTGATCAGTTTTCCATGTTTAGTCTTGTGACAATGTTTCTGACTTTTATCTCGTATATTCTTTCATTGTACAGATTTATTACAGAGAATTAAGACCTTTATCCTCTCCACTAATCGATATAAAGTCAACGTCTGGTGTATCAAATATTAGAGCATCTGGATTACAAGTTTATTCTAGAATCACTGGTTACCAGAGTAATGCAGAGTAATCCATCAGTTGATGTGATCAAAGTATACCATGATAATCATTTGTTTACATAATTCACCTTCTTTTTCTATTAGATTCATGTTCATGATATTTCCCTTTCTAATCCAATTGAAGAAAATATAATCCAACAGTATATCGTTGGAGAATATATATACTGATCTCTCTAAACAAATGAAAACATCCTTTATGAATTGCTTAATAGTCAGTTGTTATCCACCTTCAGTGACACTTTTCATTATTTTTCTAAAGAAAAATGGATTACGAAGATCATCGATGTCATCCTCAAGAAAGTTTCTTTTTGTAACCAATCATCATTAAGTTAAGTAAACCTATCCACTATACCGTCTTGTCTTACTTCATCAAACGAAAGTATACAGCTGAAATGACATAACTAAAAAAGAAGGAATCTATACAATGTTTTTTTTTTGCGGTTACAGGTTATACTTTTTCAATATGTACATCAGTTCATTCCCCTTTATTACTAATTTTTGTTTATTTTTCTGTGGTAAATATCAAGTTAAATGCATAATGTTGAACAGATTTATAACACTATTGAACACTATTGAATTCTTGTTTAAATTTGCTTTACCATTGAATTATTCTGTATCATGAGTGATCTTTTAGTGGGAAAGACTAATTTAAATTATTTTTCTAATAAAAGAAACAAGTATCCAATTTTCATTGCTTAATTAATGATTGATGTTGATTCAAAAGAGTGAAATATAAGAGGAAAATAATAGTTATAGTTATATATATGAAGATGCTTGGTAGAAAGTAAGTTTCATCCCATCTGATAGTCATCCCCTACTCACTGATAGCTACTTAGATAAAATTCCTAGTTATTCATTAAAACAAATGATGCCTAATTGTAAAACAACAGATTTTTAAACTTTTGTGGATAGAATTTCCACATGTTGTTACCGATTACATTATGACACAAATCTTTGAAAACAAAAGTAATTTGACCAAGTAATTGTCTAAAATAACTTCTCCTTCAGGCTCACCAGTTACAAATCTATTAGAATGGGTGAAATACAATAACTAAAGTAATACAGAATATGAAATTATTTCATTATTGAAAAAGTCAGTCTTATGGGGGGAATGAATGTATTTCGTGAATGAAAATCAAGTCAAATGGATGTAAGTTTTTATCAGATTGGAATAGTAGCTAGTCTAGTATTTAAATTATTCAATGTAATCAATATGGAAAGAAACCTTGCCTGGTTAACTAGTTCACTAGTTACTAGCCGGTCATAAGCCCCGGTAAAGAGGTAAGGTTGCGTATAGGGCTAGCAACCCTACCCCGTAAAACAAATCTAACCGCTAAAGAAACTTCAAAACACAAACAAAATATAAAAAATAAAAACAATATTATTCCTCTCTGGAATCGGAGAGACGAAATGATGCCGGTTGATGAAAGCCTTCGGGAAGCCAAATGGCTGGTGTGTCTTCTCTCCCTCAATGAAAGCGAAGGTAAACGAGGGAACATGGAATGTCCGCACCATGTTTGAACCCAGCAAGACAGCCCAGGTTGCAAAGGAGATGAGAAGGTATAGCATTGAAGTGTTAGGAATTTGTGAAGGCAGATGAAATGAAAGTGGACTCTCCAATCTGTCAACTGGAGAATCAATAATCTACTCCGACATTGCCACACAGACGACAACCACAAGCACACTGAGTTATGGAGTGGCTATCATGATGTCTCCAAGAGCATCGAAGGCTGTCTCTCATGCAGTGGGAACCAATCTCTTGCTGCAGGATCAGGATCATGATAGCAAGGTTCAACTCAAAAGGAAGGAAGGTCACAATCATACAACGCTATGCACCTACAAATAATGCAGAGCAACAGAAAAAGGAGGAATTCTACAGACAACTGCAATCAGCACTGGACGAGACCCCACTTTAGTTAGCGACATCAAAATTCTGATGAGTGACATAAATGCCAAACTGGGAGCAGACAACACAGGAAGAGAACTAACCATGGGCTGAGAAGCACTCGGTGAAATGAACGAGAATGGAGAATCGTTTACAGAATTCTATGCATCCAACGATTTGGTGATTGGGGGCGGGGCAGTGTGTTCAAGTATAAGGATATCCACAAGGTAGCGACATGGATTTCACCAAATGGACACACTAAAAACCAGATGGACTTTATCTCAATCTCAAGAAAGTGTAGACGCAGCCTACTTGACACAAGGTCAAGAAGAGGAACAGATGTAGTTTCAGACCACTATATAGTGCAAGGAACCTTCCAAATCAAGTTAAAAGCCTTCAAGGAAGCTGGTGATAGACCTCAATTCAAGTACAACACTCGGAAACTGAGGGAAAAAACTACAAAGGAAATCTTCACGGCAGTCAGCAAGACAAAATGGGAGATATCGAGGGACATCCCTGAAGAAACCTGTGTAGAAGAACATTGGAAGTCTTTAAAAGAGATGTGGAAAAAAACCTGCACTAGCTTATTAGGAAAGGAGAAGAAAAAAGATAAGGAACGGATCTCAATGGATACATGGAAGCTGATAGAGGAGAGGAGGATGGTGAAACAGAAGATAAACCAATGCAACGATGCACAAGGAGAAGAGGAACTGAGTACAATGTATAAAACAATGGACAAAGAAGTTGAGAAGAGTGGGTGGAAAGACAAAAGACACTTCTACGAAACACCGTCAAGTGAAGCAAAACAGGCTGCTGGTAGGAGAGACCTGACAACATTGTATCAAATAACCAGGTTACTATCTGGGAAGAGATCAACGCAGATGAAACCAACAAAGATGATGAAGGAAATATAATTACGAAAGAGGAGAAACAAAGGAAACAATGGACCGACCACTTCAAGAAGCTCTTGAATCGACCACCACCTACACTTCGTCCAGAAATACCACCTGCAGCCCAGCCACATAACTACCAATGAACACAAGCCCCCCGACAAAAGCAGAAGTCCTGAGCGCCATAAAGATACTGAAATGCGGGAAAGCATCAGAACCAGATGGAATCCCGTCAGAAGCACTGAGAACAGACGCAGAGACAACAGCGGACATGCTCACACCACTACTGTAGAAGGTTTAAAAGGAAGGAAGGGAAGGTACCTGCAGAATGGAAGAAGGGTTACCCTGTCAAACTGCCGAAGAAGGGAGACCTCAGTGCTTGCAAGAACTGGTGCGGAATCACTCTCCTGTCCACCCAAAGCAAGCAAAATATTTAGCCGCATCATCCTGGAGAGGCTAAAGGATGCACTGGATTCAAAACTACGACCGGAACAGGCTGGCTGGCTGGATTAAGGAAGTACAAATCATGTGCGGACCAAATTGCAACGCTACACTACACATCATTATAGAACAGAGTATAGAATGGCAGTCAACTCTCTACCTCAACTTTATCGACTTTGAGAAGGCCTTTGACAGTGTCGACCGAGAGGTGATTTGGAAACTGCTTTAATACTACGGAATACCACAAACCTTTATCAATCTGATTCAACAGCTATATGAAGATGCCACATGCCAAGTAATTCACAATAGAAAGCTTAGCTCAGTGATGCTTTTGAAGTGAAGACCGGAGTGGAACAAGGCTGTCTACTATCCCCTATGATATTCCTGATTGTGGTGGACTGGATCATGCAGCAAACAGTGGGGAGCGAGAAGAGGGGGATACACTGGACTGCGGAAAAGAACCTAGAAGACTTGGATTTCGCCGATGACTTGTGCCTGATGTCGCACAAACCTGAAGATCTACAGGCGAAAACTAACAAGTTGGCAGAAGAGGCAGCGAAGACGAGACTTCAAGTGAATATATAGAAGACAAATGTGGTGAAGGTACCCAACCAACAACACCATGAACAACAACAAACCCCAATCACCATCAACGGGAGAAACTTAAAGGAAGTAGCCTCTTTCACCTATCTAGGAAGCACTGTTTCAACTACAGGCGGCACAGACGAGGATGTCAAAGTCAGGATCGGAAAAGCAAGACAGGCGTTCATTAACCTGAAACCAGTATGGAGATCTTCTGCACTGCACTCAGCATGTGGAACAAGATCCAGATTTTCAACAACAACAGAAAATCAGTGCCTCCATGTGATGGCGCGTTATGAAAAGGATTTTCAACAAACTACAGACATTCATCAATAACTGCCACCTACGCTCGCTACTGGAGATCAGATGGCCAGAATAATAAGAATGATCAACAAGGAACTCTGGCTAGGAACGAACCAACCAAGAAGCTAGTTAGTACTCAACAAAAATGCACTGGAAGGAAGTGGAGATGGGATTGGAGTGAGCATACACTGAGAAGGCCGGCTGGGACATCACGCGTCAGGCCAGTTGCTCGAGTGGAACCTCGATGGAAAGTGACGAGTTGGGCTTCCCAGCTGATGGTGAGATGGAGGAGATCGTGCGAGGAGGAAATGAGAGGTTGTGGGTTGTCGTGGAGCCAGATTGAAAAGATTTCGGAGAAGAGAGTGAAATGGAGACGTGCTACTGAAGCCCTATGTTCCATTAGGAACATTAAAGACAAATAATAATAATAGTAATGTGGAAAGAGCAGTTACGAAATAAGGAAACAAAATCCGGTAATAATGATTTATTCGCATCCATCTATCTGGGGTATGAATGTGTGTGTATTTATTAAAGGTCAAATAATCATTATGTAGCGTTGAATACAATAACGGAAAAGAGAATAACAAATGGGAAGTGTAATGTAAGGGTTGAAAACGACCATTAGTGATGGCATGAATATACAAGGGCATAAAAATAACACCATAAGAAAATCAGACTGGAAACCTGTGTTAATGGAAACACTATCACTCACTGCGGTGCAGGTAAATCCATCTGATGAGTGTCAAATAGGACAAGACGCATGTCCTAAATTCTGCTGCACGTCCCTACCAACTAAATTATATTTCAAAGATAGTTAAGTTTTACACTTCAAGTTTTGTGATATCAAGGATGATCTGTTAACTTATTGGTCCTTCAAAACTAGTAACTTGTTATGATTCCCTGCAGTTAT